CCCTGGGCCTTGACAAGCCTGAGATGCCTGGCTATGACAGGCTCGTGGTGCCCCTGATAGACCAGTGGTGCCCTTGCTAGGCCTGTAGTGCCCCTTGCAGGCCTCTGGTGCCCCTGCTACCCCTGCGCCCGGAGAGGACTATGGTGCCCCTGAAAAGCCTGAAGTGCCTCTCGACAGGCCCGTGGTGCCCCTGGGCCCTGACAGGCCCAAGTTACCCCTGCGAGGTCAGTGGTGCTCCTGGCAGGCCTCTGGTGCCCCTGGCAGGTCTGTGGTGCCCCTGGCAGGCCTGTGTTGACTGGTGCCCCTGCTAGGCCGCTGGTGCCCCTCACACGCCTGCGGTGCCCCTGGAAGGACTGTGGTGCCCCTGCCCCTAGGGGTGCTCATGGGCCCAACAGGCCCGTTGTGCCCCTGACAGGCCTGTCGTGTATACTTGCTAGACCTGTGGTGCCCCTGCTTCCTGGCAGGCCTGTGGTGCCCCTGGCGGGCCTGTGGCGCTCCTACAAGGCCGTAGGTGCCCCTGACAGGTTTGTGGTGTCCCTGGAAGGACTTTGGTGCCCCTGACAAGCCTGAAGTGTCAAGGACAGACCCTTTAGACGCCAGGGTCAAGTTCGTCGGACTGACAACGATTTGCTTACCTGATAACGTTCCTGGTAAGTAGGGGAGAGTGGGGTAAGATGCCCAGGGTGGAAAAGACGCCCCACCCCCTCTAGCGACGAAACAAAGAATCGGACCTGGAAATTAATGTTCTTAGCGTAAAGCGGAAGCCTGCCTTGTTAACGGCACAAAAAATTGCGAAGCTCAGTTGGGCAACGGCTGGCTGATGACTGCATGTTTTTTATTTGCTGCTTTCAAAAAATATTTTGGTGTCAGAACATTGTAAATATCAAAGAAGGTAAATAATTTTTGCGTCCCTTGCTATAGTCGTGATACATTAGCATGCGTGTACTGTGTCCCAAACAGTTTGTTTCATGGTGTAGTTTTATGGCTAACAAATTGTACTGATTTAATGTTACTTCGGTACCTTGGGGTAAGATGCCCCCTGTCCTGATGGGGAAAGACGCCCCCTAAATCCGTAGGCTGTCCTTCAAACAGCCCGTCAAATCATTTATTACATACTTGTGATGTAGACAAAAGCCGATCTGGGACTATTGAGAGTCCAGTACGGTCGGGTGCTCCCCATGCCGGTCTCTCGGCCCACATAGCGACTTTTTGGACGGCATCAGACTCTGAGAGCCCTCACGACGGCCTCTGTGGGCCCAATTATTGGCTCCAGGGCCCCTCACGACATCCTTTGAGGGCTCCCACGTTGGCCCCACGGGCCGCACTGGCATCGGAGGTCCCCACGATGGGCTCGAGGGCCCTCAAGCATCATGAAGACCTATAAGAGCCCCACAGTGGTCTCCGAACGCCACCACGGAGGCTTGTTTGGCCGCGCTGGACTATGATGGCCCTAACGATGACCTCTGAAGCCCCTTACGACTACTTTTGAGGGCCCTTATGATGACGTTTGGTGTCTACTGCAGGCTCGAAGGGACTACTGATTCGTTCAGGCGATTCACGTGCCCATTTATGTCACTTATAGTGCAGGGGGCATCTTTCCCAACGTCAGGGGGCGTCTTTCCCACCCTGTGGGGTAAGATGCCCCCTTTCACTTCTTCAGGAAAATGCTTAATAGCAAAAAAAGTAATAATATTTCAGGCACGAAAGTGTGATATTTTTGGAGAAAAATGATGTCGGCTTCCGTTGAAACTCCAAGTTTTTGCTTTCCCATCGTCATTTTCGAATAATATATGACATAGTAAAACCCTGGGCATCTTTCCCCACTCTCCCCTACTCACTACTCAGCGTCCACAACATATATACACATAGCACATTCATATATACTTGCTTACAATTGGTAAATGTGGTTGTGGCAAGAGTTAAGATACTGACTAAAAATAAAAAAAATAGAAAGAAAAAAACTGAAAATGGGGGCACCACCAAAATGAAGTGGACGAAATCCGTTGAGTTTTTAATTTTGGGTGTAGGTAGGGGCACCACTTCGATTCATGACCCTCCCCTTGGAGTTTTCCTGGATCCGCCCCTGCCAGAGACCAGACAGACCACAGACCACAGACCACAGACCAGAGACCACAGACCAGACAGTTCAGAGAACAGAGACGGCATACCACAGACCTGACAGTAGACAGACCGAAGAGACTGTGGATATTCACTGATCCGAGGATTTGATACAAAGTTAACTAAAATTGTGCTGTTTTTGCCACATCTTCGGTTACAAACCTTATTATCCTGAACGTTATAGAATAACATGAGTCTTTGAATTACATTTTAGGTGCCTGGTTTCAGGTATCCCTATACAAAAAAGTAAATAATAAATCTAACTTCTGAAGGTTCAGTCAACTATACATTACTGCACGTAATTGATGTTCTCCCATTTCGTTCACGCCATATCAGCACCATTATAAATGTATACTCAGTAGGTATGGCTGGAGCTGTGATCGCGACCTCTGACCTTTGTGCCGCGGGCTTATTACCTCGTGTCCACATATCCGGGACCAACATAGACTTCCAGAGGCTTCTCAGACTCCGGCGAACAGCGCCGGTAGCCATGGCAACCGGCTGTGATGGCACCGGCTGCCATGGCAACTGGATGAGGTGCCGCGGACCTCTGGCGTGATGCCCTTTATCGCGTGCAACAATGAACAAAAATGCTTGATTTGATTGAGGGTAACCTACGTTTGGAAAGAACAGGCAGCTCAGTAGTTCTATTGACGATCTAGCTGCCAACACTTCGTTTCCGTTGTCGATTCTAGTGCAGCAAAATCGACGGACCCATGAACGTCCAGAAAGCAGAAGCAGCAGCATCTCAAATTGTGAGATAACTTCTAGTAGCTGTATCCCCAGGGCTGCGGAAACTATCGATTTTTGATGACTCCGACTCTGACTCAAGCTTCCAAAATTGACAGCAACCCTGGTCAGACTCTCATCCCCGACTCCGACTCCGACTCCGCAGCCCTGCAGTGCATGTATTGTTCGACCAGTTTATGCGATCGCGGAGCTTAGCTGCTCCGAACCATGCCTGTGTTACGGAGGAGTAATAGTATGCGAGTTACAGAGGTCTGAGCGCTCGTGAACGTGCGTTTGAAAGGCTCCGTACGGCAGAAAACGTCCTCTTATGCATCAATACACGTACCAAACAACATTGAGGCATGGTTAAGGGTGCCATGGAAAAGCACCACCTACGCAATGGTATGCGCAGTGCAGCCGCATTCAATGCATTGAACAGGCTGTGTCGATTGTTTATGTATGGGGATAGCACTCGTTGGCCGGGGTCGGGAGGAAAGATACAAACTTTTTTGTTTATCAATACTTAATCGATATCAACTTGATATTTTACATTTTGGTCAGAATATTGTTTGTGTGCGTCTTTTTTCGGTATTGTAAATTCTCACTGCCGTATATAAAACACACTGAGTTTGGTGCAATTGTGACTTTCTTTGATTTCTGTGACTTTCTGTGATTTATGTGCTTCTGTGATTTTCGAAATTTCGTTTTTCGTTACTTTCTAACGGTGTTGGTTGGTATTTTGCTTGGTATGGGTATCCAAATGATCTGTAATTGACATCACTAGTCGGGGGCCCCAGCTAACCCCCTGCTCTCTAGGGGGAGGTGTGGGGGAGGAGGGGGGGGGGCTGAACCGGTACGAGTTCCACCGACCGGTGAGGAATGTATGCAAACATAAACATTGGGGACACATCTGTACTGGCAGACCGAGAAGAGGGGCAGGGGCGTAACCAGGGCGGGAGTCAAGGGGTGTCTGATGGGGCGCCCTACACGGGACAGGGCGTAACCAGGGAGGGAGTCAGGGGGTGTCTGATGGAGCTTCCTTTGTGGCAGTGGCGTTTTCAGGGAGAGAACCACCTAGAGAACCAAGACAGTTATGGTAGCATAGCCGCATCCAAAAACTGAGCACGAGTCCTGCTTTGCTTTAAGTCGAAGTCTCATTGGGCTGCGAGACTGACATTTTCGGGGAATAGCTACCCCACAAGCAACTGTCTGCAAGGGACAAGGGAACAGGACACTCAAACTCCATTCAATTAATATATTTCACTAAAATTCTGCGCATATATAGACCAGTAAAATTAAGAGATTATGGTAATCAGGCATCATGATTATTGGTAGTTTCCACACTTCATTTTTTCTCAGCCTTGTGGTCTGCTGTTTTACCGAAACGAAATCTAGTAATTATATGCAATTTACTTTTTCTGAGCGGATGTTTTAATACCTAAGCTATATTTAATTTTCACCAGATGACCCAGTGAGGTTGATTTATGTTCGTTTTTAAATTCGACTACCACATCGCTGCAATGTGTGACACATTGTTCTTGGATTAGTGATCAGACCGTGTTTGGTCCGTGTCGGAAGTATACACCGGCAGTTGTTACCGATTTTTGATGGACCGTTGACGCCTTGTTTTGGCTGTGTAGCTGCAGAAGCGCGGGGTACTTCAAGGAACTGTGTTTGCGTCCATTGTTTTCCGGCTGATCTGTTCGATATGCCTTATTTGATGTTAGGAACATTGGCAGATTATTTTCCGTCCACTATTGTACGGAAATATTGGTATGAAGTAACAATGTTATGCCTTTTTTGTATGTAATTGTACACTGGATGTTTGTTGTACAACCATGCATTTTCGTGAAACACTTCTGGTACCACGTGATTCCACCGCCCTCAGCAATCTGTTTGTGTTGTTTGTTTTTATCTGTAATTTCTCACTCCTGGAGCACCTATATGGAACTCGATGTCATACCTGCGTAGTTGGAATACTTCTCCCTGTGTTCTGTCCACCAGTGACGCCATTCGTACTCGTGCGGCTCCACAGTGCAGTGTCTAACCGTAGTGTTGTCTTTTCCAGCAGTGACGCCATTGCCTGCGCCCTGCAGTCTGTACTCTCTCGGCTCTATTAGCATCTAACTTGTCCGTTTATTTCTCTCCCCCAGTGACGTCATGGCCTGCAGTCCGTACTCTCGCGGCTCGAACAGTACTTCTCCACCGTCCCACCACAGCCCTGGACAGTACACAGTCAAGGCCGAACCGGCCCTCCACCAAGGTAAGGCTCGTCTTACGGTAATTATGGTAATTTGGTGCGCGTGTGGTGTGGTTTATGCATGCGTATGAGGTGGGTTCTTCGATAGCCTGCGGGGACGCACTTAGTGACAACAGACCAGCAAACAGGGTGCGACTCAGGAAGGTTACTTGGAAAGCTTGTATCTGTCGTTAGTTCTTGATAGTTGTATCGGGACATTCCGCATAATAGATAGATAATGAATGACAGTGAGTTCTGTTGAAGTCACATCGTGGCGTCTGCTATTTAGGTACAAAGCAGATATGGGGTCTCCACTCATAAAATTATCTTTTTTACTCCTTTCTTCGTTTCGGAGCTAGCCATCATCATTGTGGCTAGCCGCTAGCATTACCATAATCACATTACCATAATCGTCTGGACGTGGAAAGTAGGCACAGATCATCGAATATGCTTGAATAATGGTTCTCCTACAGGCATTTTTTTAGCTAAACTATTATACGAGCCATTTACGCAAAGGCACGATATATGTGATAAATGGCATGCTTTCAAAATATTCACATGGCATAGTTGAAATACTGTAGTTTCATTGGCTGTCAATAATTGTGAATGCGTTGTAACTGTCCTGTGTGCAATGTTCATGCTATCTTTGGTACTGCTCTTGTTAACAGTGTTCTATTAGCTAGCTATATGACATATGGGACTCTTTTTAAAGTCATAGCAATCATTTAAGCGTAATTATTCCATATATTATATTGCCGCATTTTGATGCATTAAAACTTAATACTTTCCCAATAGCAAAGGAATAAATGTGCACTACATTGCCACTAACCATTTCTTCACGGACTCCCTCTCACCACCCGGTATAGGTGACTGAATTTCTCAGCTCCATAGTCCATTGGCCCCGCGTGTGCTGAACTGTCTCTGTCCAGTCCCTGCGCACCTCCGTCTGTCTCCTCTCCCTCACACCGATTGAGGCAGCGCTGAGGCACGGAGAGTCTGAGACAATTCAACGTCTCTGCCGCCTCCAAAACCCTTCCCCTCCGCCCCCGTAAGAGGCGGGCGTTGTTCCATTCAGCTCAGCGGAGTCGATGGATTATCGGTGACTCCGACTCCGACTCCGCAACCCTGGTTCCATCCACTTGTTGTTCCATTCACTTCGTGTTCAATTGAAAGTGAAAAAGAAACAGACCGCAGGAGTGCTTTCCTGGAAAAGCACGTCCGCCATGTTGAATTGCGAATGGAGGCGGCCATCTTGCATGTACCATGTGTGGTAGCCGGTGAGGTAAACTCAGCTGGGATTTCCTGGTGGCTGGCATTTGTAGGTAATACCTGGAGACTGATAGGCTTTGCACATGTCAGAAGGCGAGTCATAGCTCTCTGTTCAGGGAACGAACTTCGACGGCGCCCCTTTTCTGGGGCAGGAAACGGCAAAAATTGCCAGGTAATCTTGACAGTGCAGTAAAAGTGACTACATTAGTCTATAAACACGAAAAAATCACTTGTTGTGGCCGACAAAGACTAAACAATAGCAAATCAGCCACCAAATTCCCCAATAAGTACCCAAACTCTGTCCGTTCTTCAAAAATCCCCTGCAGATCAGCGTTCGTCTACACGAAAAAGTCTCTGAATATCCGGCCTGTGAAGATTATTGTCGCCAGATTTCCCCGGGTTTCTCCAAGGCCACACGCGCCGGTGATTGTGGATATCCCCAGGCGGGCGGGCTCGTGACTGAAACAAACCACAGGTGACGTAGGAATACATCACGCCGCGCCCATCCCCTTTCCTTATCAGGCCCGTACCGCTTGTCGACGTAATTCCTCTAGAATGCAGGATTTGTAAGTGGTGGTGATAGCGGTTAGGTAATTCATCTACATTGAGTAGGCTAGTAAGTGAATCTTTTGTCTAGTATTGCGGTAAACAAACACTTCACTAACCATTTTGCGTGCGGAAATTTCAAAATGTCCATACAAGCTCGTGAATATACCAATGTATCGGTGTTAAATAACTTTTTTCGGAAAAGCCTCTGAACATTTTACAGGTAGATTTATTTTACGTCGAATCCCATACCCGTCAGGACGGTCAAAGTTGCCAATCGCGCGTCACCGTTTCATCTGGATGAGTCGCAGCCGCCGCGGAGACCGGTTCTGCGCCGTAAGGCCTCCGCGGAGGTCACAGCCGCCCCCCAGTGACGTCATTTGTGTGTTGTACCGGCAGCAGCACCCCGATAGCGGCGAGGCGTTCTGGGGCCTTCCCGGGTGGCGCGGGACACGCGGCGCAGGGGCGACTTCAGGCAGAGGGGTTCGGGGGGTCGGCGCAGGGGCGGATTTGTTCATTTTGGAACATGGGGATAGGTGTACTCTGTCATGCAATCCTAGTTAGGGCTGCGGAGTTGCAGTCGAAGTTGGAGTCGGTCCGAGTCGATGGTTCTAACCGGAATGGGAGTCGATTTGGAAGTGTGAGTCTGAGTCTGAGTCACCAAAATTGCACCTACTCAGCCACCCTGCCCCTGCTTCTTATGACATACATTACCGATAAGAGTTGAGGAAATTTCATGGATTAAGCGATTTACTTGAATGGCTTGACTATAATATGTTGAATGTCTGATGTTTTAGAGGGTTTGATCACGATTCGTCGACCGAGGCCCAGATTATTTGCTCGTGTTATAATTAGTGACCTACATTTATTATTCCATGTAATAACAGTGACCCGAAGCAACGAACGACCATTGAAGTTTATTTATTCACCCATGCTAACTGATACAGTCACCGTCAGCCGGACTTCAGAGGCCATTGCCAATAAATAACCCTGTGACTTTGGTATCGAGAGGACATTAGGTACTGTGTAACTATGTATTTAGAGTTAGGATTGACAGGGAATGATTGTCGCTCTCCTCTCCTCTCCTCTCCTATCCTCTCCTCTCCTCTCCTCTCCTCTCCTTTTTTCCTCTCTTCTCTCCTTTCTGTGCGGATTTCTATAAACTGCGAGCAAAATCGTCCGGGGAGGTTATGGATCATGTGACAAAAAATGAGCTCCTGAGTGTATAGCGGAACCCCCTGAACCTTTAGGCCGCGGGCCCGACAGTTAACCAAACAATCTCAAAGTGATCACTGATCCGGCGTGACCACCGCGCCGGATACGTCTCTCTGCCGGGGAACTGCGCCACAATCGCTGACGCTTCTCTGAGTTCTCCGACTCTCCGGGCGGCCAGACGGTCACCGTATCACCTTCGCGTGGGGTCGCTGGGGCTTGTGGGAAGTGGGGTGGGGGAGGGGGTGGGGGTCTAGTCAGAGTGGGCCGAGGGTAGTCATCCCTATCATAGCTTTATGTCGACAATGTCGTGACTCTATGTGCGGCCATGTTGTGAAACGCTGACCGCTGTGCCTTGGTTACGGACGTGTTGCAATGTTGCAAATTAACCGTCCAGCTAGTTTGCACAGGCGAGGGTCAATGAGGCACTGAGGCACCTACTGCAAATGAATCCCAATACTTAGCAGACTATTATTGCTGGGGAACCCCCCACTCCTGCCGGGGAATTCCCCGAGCTGAGACGAAAGTGGCGCACGGCTGCGCCAGCGCTGCCGCGCCGTTCTACGCCGCTGCCGCGGGCCGGCGCGGCGCTTTCGTCTCGTGTTCGGCACGATTGTCAATATTTAGAGGCGAAGCGCGGCGCGGGTTTCCCTGCAGATCTGGCGCCGCCGCCAGCGGCGCGTCCAGGGATCAGATCGGGGAGGCAAGAGAAGTGGCGTGTCCAGGGTTTGTAATGGGGAGGGGAAGGTTGGAAAGGAGGCGGGACGCGCCTAGGGCTGATCTGGGAATGATTCATGTCCGCGACAAAGTGAGGCAGATTGTACTCTGATTTGTTAGGAGGACCGCTTCATACAATTATACATTACATTTAGTTAGTAGATATATTGGACAGGTATGTGGTAAAGAGCAAGTAGCATACGAATATATTCAAGTAGCTACTTGAATATATTCGTATGCTACTAAATATATATGTAATTATATGTAATTGCTACTTGAATATATTCGTATGCTACTTGCTCTTTACTACATTACATTTAGTTGTTGGCATTTGAAAAGCAGGGACCAGTATTCCAGAAGCTCAACTGTTCCTATAAAATATTCCCATGTCTGTGCAGAAAAAACAACACCTATGTTTAAATTGACTGTGTTTCATCCACTCATAACATCATCCCTTCTTGTCGCATATTTTACCGGTGAAATAGGTAACTGATGTTGGTAATCACAAAGCATGGTGATGAATATGATACCGACACTTTGTTGACGTTTTTGACAGCCATGACACGCTGCACATCAAAATTCACTGAGGAAGTGCCCGTTGATAGCTTACGGGGAACCGTGCGTTTTGTGGTATATGATGCATCGCATTTCCCTTGTTATTGCGTCGTTTTCCCCTGCGAATGTCATCATCGCCATCATTGTCGTCAACTCGTCACCAAGGTTACGGTGACGTAACAGCGGACTGTGAAGGCGTTTTCTTTCTTTTTTTCGGGTATTTCGGGTGTTTTTTTCGTTTTTTTTTTTTTGCTCGTCAACTCTGGTTTCACTTCATTTGCACACATTGTATTTTCGTTAAAGAGAAAACTGTGCGCCGTTTTTTAAAATTGTCGGTTTGTGATACCTAACTGAGTAGCTACTCCACGAATGTACTCCACGGTATCCAGTACGGGCCGGTTCCGTATCCAGACACCGCCGTCGGTTCATACCGCTTGGATCCGGACACTGGACGGACCCGACCCCCGGGCAACAGTCGCTCACAGTAGGTACTCACAGTACTACTCACAGCTCACAGTAGGTACTCACAGCTCTCACAGTACTCGCTGTGCGGTCTGTGGTGGTCAGAATTGTCGGTACCTATCGATTCGCCAACCGCAGTCGGCGCCGGCCCGGCTTCCAGCGGCATTTGACGTGTGCTAATCGCGCTGATCATTATGGCAATCAGACGGGGTTAATAACGGGCACGGACCTTGCTATTGGTGCTAAGGAAACTGAAATAAATG